GCGGGGGCCGCAGAGGCAACCCCAGCCCCCGCCGCCACGCGGGACAGCGTGTTTGCAATTAGCGCGCCCCAGAAACCCCTACGCAGCGGGGTGGCCGGCGCCCAGCTGTCAGCGGGGAGGCCAGAAGCCGCCCGGCTTTGTTCTGAGCGCGGCTCCGCCCTGTCCCGCCCGCCGGGATGTGGAAATCGTTTCCATTTCTGAGCCCCCCACAGCGGTGGCCATGGAGGGCGCTTCCAGTCGGGGAGTCCGGAGCGGGGGGCCCCAGGGAGAGATGTGCGTCCAGGCGCTCGGGGTGGGGGACCCCGGGAGCCAGCGGCGAGACGGGCAGGCGGAGGGCGCGGACCCAGGCGGCCGCGGGGGCCAGGCCGGGACCGCTGAAGGCCGGGCAGCGGCCGGTGAGCGCAGAGAGGGAGGCCGTGGACACGCGTGAGGGGCCCCGTCCTCGCTGCCCAGGGAGGGGCCGGCGGCCTCTGTGGGGAGGGCGGAGTCGCCTCCCTGGCAGCTTAGAAGAATCTGAGGAAGCCACACCCAGCCCCGCTGCTGTGGTCACTCCCAGCCCCCGGCCGGCGTGGGCGTGGGGGCCCCGCCGTGGCCCCAAAGCCAACGCGCCTGGACAGGCCTGCCTGGGGTCACCGCCCCAGAGGCAGGCGGGCGTGACCCCGCGAGGCCCCGAGCTGAGGGCCTCTGGGAGGGACGGAGTGGACTCACCGGGACGCGGGCCCTGGGGCCGCTCGGGTCACTCGGCCTCGCGGGTGACGTGTTTTCTTCGGAAGACTCCCGGGAGGTCACGAGGAAGGCGGCGGCGGCCGTTCCCTGGCCCGGACGCTGGAGGGTCATGTCCACTGTGACCCGCCGGCCGGTGCCAGAGGACACTCTCCTGCGCGGCCACGGGGCGGCCAGCCAGGGCCCGGGTCAGTGTCCGATCCCGGGACCGCAGCTCCCGGAAGGAAGGTGGTCAGCTCGGGAGACCAGAAGCGGACACGGGGCGTCGGGGGGCTGAGCGCCCCCGGATGGGCCTGGGGCGCGCCGGCTGCCTCCGGCCTGGCCGCTCCAGGAGGTGGTCAGCCGTGGCGCCTCTGCGCAGGCCGGGGCGGGGCGTGCACTGGTCAGCCTGAGGCCGCCCAGCGTGGTGGCTCCGCTGAGGCCGTCTGCAGCCCCGCAGGGTGGGGGCTGGCCAGGGGCCCCTCAGAGCGAGGGACCCACCGAGGGGGTCGTGGCCTGTGGCTGTCGCGACCCCCCCAGTGGGGACGCCCCAGGACCCGACCAGCCCCGGACGGCGAATCACGCGCGGCGGGCAGCTGGGTGGCCCCGTCGGGCCCGGGGCCGCACCCCAAGGCGGGCCAGAGCGTCATTGTTTTCCACGAGCGTTGCGTGGACGCCGCGGACGGACAAAGGTCACCGAAGCCTCCCTCGCGGGCAGCCG